CAAGTATGCCAACCAGGTATAATTAGTCAATTGTGCAACTCTATCCTAACATGTTATAAATAAGTTAACAAAATGAGAACACAGATTGCTGAAGATGATTATGAAAAAATAGATATGTTTGGACAGCATATCACGCATGTAGAGCTAAGACAAATGGTCATCCGCCTTTATATATCGATCCGCATTGGTCAATGTTTCAGGAAGAGATCAAATCTGTCACAACAGTTCGACATTCCATAAATACAATCCAACAATGTGTTAATTTTTTTTTTCGAGACTTGTATCAATAATCACTTTCGCAAAATCGGAAGAGTGGAACTTGGCAAACACATATTTCTACATGTTCTAGTAGAACAAAGAATACTAGTAGTGTTGTTTTAGGTCTTCATACACACATGGCATCGTTGAAAACCTTATGTGATTGATGAGAAAACAGTGGTTGAACAAATGTTCAATTAAGAAAACATAGTACTTCATGATCAGCAGATTCCTTTTCAGAGGCTCGCATGCATCATGAACAAGACATTTCCACGAGGTTACAGTAGGTGTACTCATTCTTATGCAAAGATCCTGACATAATTTTTACTGAGGATAGACCCTGGTGAGAACTATGTAACATTAAAAAAATGGCGTAATAAGAGGGAAAATGAGAGTCCACTTAACCACAAGTAGTCTGTAACATTAAAGATTGAACTGGACATGTTGATGTGAGATCATTAAGATAATGTTCCTTCTGGGTGTAAAAAGATTCCATTATACTGCTTATTCATTGGTTCTTTGCATTTATCCATCAAATTTAAGGCTTCCAGTTCCCGTGTGCGATAGTATGCCATTTAACTATACAGTTTAAGTGTTGCAAACGTAATTTGAAATTAGTAAATGTAGATCAAGCCCACGAGTAGAATTAAACGCTTGTAAAAGTAGAAGATGGGGCAATCAGATTGACCATCAATATCGCACAACTACAGCAGTTAATGGTGTTTTGCCTAGAAATGGCCAAAGTAATTAACAAGTTTCAATCAACCTTTGAAATAATATAACTCAGGTAAACTACATGATGTTCTACATCAGGAACTGTTTAAAAGCTAACACATCATTCTCACAGCATGTCAAAGCTTTAGGCGGGGAAATGTATCGACCTTTTACCCAGAGTGCTACTTCGATTGAATGTTGATGGCATATTCCCTATTGGACATTTAGCACAAAAGAATCAGCAATGAGCTAATAAAATGTGGTTGATAGATATAAAACGGACGTCACGGAAGATGTAAAAATTCTTTGGATGTTTTAGATAAATTGCGTGCTTTTGATGATCCTTTTGATACTATTGACAGTTTTGACTTTTCATCTCTTTTCACTACACTTCAACACAATCTTATCAAACAATTTTTTTTTTCTATTTAATCAAATGGTCGTTTGGTAAATCTGATTGTTAATATATTTGCTGCAATTCATTTAAAGCGTTCTTCTCTAACGAGAAAGGTAAATATGTTAGATATACCTACTGGATGTGTGATGAGATGATTGAAGCTTTTAATTTTCTCGTTGATAATATTTATGTACATTTCGGCAATACAGTTTATCGACAGGCTATAGGTATTCCTATGGGCACCAATTGCGCCACTTTAATAGCAGACTTGTTCTTCTACTGTTATGAATTATAGTTTATGACCAAACTCAGTAAAGACCCGTCTAACTTGCATTTAATTTATAAATTCAATAACACTTACCTTTATCGTGATGATGTTTTTTCGTTAAATAATCAAAAACAAAATTCTTAATATACTGTCGAAATTTACTCAAAGGAACTTACTATAAATAAATCAAATACAAACGGTAATAACTGTCCTTTCCTAGATTTAGATATTTCAGTTTTACACGAAAAACTCTACACAAAAAATATGACAAAAGGGACGATTTTTCGTTTTCTATTCTTAATGTTCCTTATTTGGACGGTGATTTTGTTACGACCAGAAATCATCTTTAAATTGTAGCCAACAAAAAAAACAAAAATCAATAATAAATTTAATAAGATTTATTATACAATTTTACACGAAATATTGTACAAATTGAAATGTTAACTTATCTGTTAAAATATCGGAATGTCCGATCCTAGTCTTTTCTTTATCCGGAATTCTTGTCTTAACTGTTGCGCAATCCAAACGGAATATTTATATGTCCAATAAATTCACAAACATTATGATGTTGTTAACGTAAATAAAAGTGGCAATCCAACAACTCTAGAGATCTTCTAAGAATTCTAATATAGTTCTGTCCGACATTACAAAAAAAGTTAAATCACAAAATTACTGAACTCCGAGGAAAATCCAAAACGGAAAGTCCCTAATCAAATGGCAAAATCAAAAGCACAAACACATCAAACGAATGGACAACAACTGTCATATTCCTGACTTGGTACAGGCATTTCCTTATGTCATTCTTACAATTCATCGTCAGTATATATATAGATATATAGTTACAACGGAAACTTTAGAAGAAAACTCCTAGAAAACTGTAGAAGGGAAATTTCTAGAATACTATAGAAGTTTAAATGAAAACAACACGTTATAAATTTCATGCGTCCGAAGTGCTTTTTTTTGTATTTACCTTCATCAGGAACGCTAATAGCCGAATATTTGAAAGCCAAGAATGTATAATAACCTAAACAGTTGAAGAGCTGTATGACCAAAAAGGACCTAAAAAATAACCAGATTTATTTAAGGTCAACTTTGCATGAGGAAGTTGAAACCTTAGTTTCATATAATTTCAAAATTTATCAACGGACAATTTTAGAAAGGTTTGTTATAATTCATGTCAATACCGAAGTACTAACTACTGAGCTGATGATTCCCTCGAGAAATGATAGTCCACCAGCAGAGGTATCGACTCAATGCTGTTAAATATGAAAACAACACGTTATAAATTTCATGCGTGCGAAAAAATTTAAACAACAAAAACACCGAACCCCAAGGAAAACCCAGATCGGGAAGCCCCATCAAATGGCAAAACCAAATGCCCAAACATATCAAACGAATGAAACAACTGTCATATTCCCGACCCGGCATATGCATCTCCCTATGTAGAAAACGGCGGACCGAACCCGGGCCTACAACCAACCAAACCTCTCACATGCACGACAGTCGCACACAATTCCACTACATTGACAACAATGAGTGAACAAAACAAACAGACACAATAGGCAAAAATGTCAAAAACAGGGACACAGTCAACACTGTGCCACTATCTCAACCACTACAAAAAGAAACAAAAAAGTCAACAAAGAAAAGCAAAACGGCACACAGGCAAAGCACATAAGCAAAAACTAAAGGCAAGAGTTCAAAAAAAGACTACCATCGACTCAGTGATGTAAAATATGAAAACAACACGTTGTAACTTTCATGCATCCGAAGCGCTTTTCTGGATTTACCTTCATCAGGAACGCTCAAAGCCGACTATTTTAAATTCCGCATCGTAGATTATAATCATTCCGGAACTATTATGCAAGTCAAATAGAAAGTTAATCAGCATCTACGATTGTTCCAGTGATTTCTAAACTGCACAATTATAACATAATTTGGTTAACAACTATAACCCAATTATGTTAACATCTTATAAAGCCACACAAAACAAATTAGGCTAAGATAAATAAACATGATAATTACAATATCATAACAATGTTCCTTTGACACAATCTTATGGTGTTTATATATCACAACTCGTTCGGTATGCCCGGATCTGTTGTACCGTTTTCGATTTCAATGAACTTTTTTATGTGATAATATGTAGATGTGTTTTGATTGCCAATACGACAACTATACACAAGAGACCAAAGGACGAGGATGTAACCAACTACAGATCAGAGTACGGCCTTCAACAATGAGCAAACTCCATACCGCAAGTAAGCTGAACAGGTTTTAGAATACAGTAGAATTGTAGCTTTTCGTCTTACCTCCGCGAGATGGTTTTGTCGTTGGAATCAAATTTTATAAATTTGGAAATCAGCGTGCAATTCTTTTTAAAATAAGGACGACAGAAGTGTTACTATTCTTTATGTACTAACGTGTGTCGAAAATTTCATGGTGCTATACTCCTAAAAAAACATTTTAAATTATTATCATACCCAAACTAACTGATTTGGAGGCATACTGTAATGACCTCGTTCGTCCATGACTCGTTACATATTACCCAGATATATATAATCCGGAGTTTAGTGTGACGTCCATTTTTGCTGAACTAGTACACATTTTTGTTTAGGGGCCAGCTGAAGCCCGCCTACGGGTGCGGGATTTTCTCCCTGTGTTGAAGACCCATTGGTGGCCTTGGGCTGTTTTCTGCTCTTTGGTCGGATTGTTGTCTCTTTGACACATTCCCCGTTTCCATTCTCAATTTTATTGAAACATTTTCTTTAGAAGGCTTTCAAATTTCATAAGTTTGATGTAAATTGACGGTAGTCATGGATACTATGATAAGCTTCGTTCAAAGATGGTCATGCCTCTATTTGACTTCAATTTCTAAAATAGAATGATAAAGTACTAATACCACACAAAGTACTGTGTTGTCCAGGTTTTTATTATAAAAAGTGGTAAATTTAAAAATTGTTATTATTGTCGCCTATGGAGGAAAATATACTACCGTTTCCCTATAGTGTCACACTAAAATAATTCAGTTAATATAGAAAAATAGGAGATGTTGCATGCTTGTCAATGAGACAACTATCCACCGAATTCAAATGACGTAGATGAATGGAAACAACTATATGTCACCCGTTAAGATTATTTCAATCAAATACGAAATAAACAATATGATCGGGGACGATTGCTTTTCAAAGAAATGTGTTCGCAAGCCTTATCCAATTAGCGAACAATTGTTATTTAAACAAGGATTCTGATAAATTCATGTTATCAAAATATATTTTTGAAAATAGTAATACTCCACAATCATTTTCTACATCCAATTATAAATTAATTTTTCATTTGGCCATTCTTATTGTTTTTATTTCTTTAGTTCGGTTTGATCATCATTTTTGTTTTTCTTAGTTTAGTTTTTCCACGCCAAGTATGCCAGTGAATAGATTTGTGACCATTCACATTGTACAGACCATTGATATTTGACCATGAGCAGGCCCCATACCACCAACCCCCGCCCTCAGCATCAGCACAATTTATGTCGTCTCTGAAATCATTATCTCTATCTTTGGTGGTAAACTCCACACCATCATGTGAAATAATGTAAGAATCTCTCACTGAATGGCCTGTAAAATAAAAATTCAAAAGGATTTAGAAATGAATCAAAATTGGTATTTCTCAATGAAACACTTGTAAATGAAAATATTTTTACACATGATTAATTTGCATTCAATGTGAAATGTAACTCAGCTATTGTAGTGGGAATTTGTTTTAATAAAATAGACAAAAACCTGTATAAACAGAATTGTTGGTTTACGCCAACCATTTCTTGACAGAGATTTGATTTGATTTGGTTTTTGGTGTTTTAACGACGCGTTCAGTACAGCTACTATTGGCTATTTTGTGTCGATCAGTTTTCATTGGTGAAAGAAGCCACGGTGCCCAGGAGAGAAACACCGACCTTCGACAAGGAAACTGAAAATATTTGTCAATTAAGATTGGAGTCGAACGCACCTACCATGTGCAGGATTCGAACTCACAACCTCAGTATTGACAGGCTAGTGATACAGTAGTTAGACTTCTTTGACCTCATGACTATCTTCACAAAGAAGGTATTGAAGCAGTTCTAGTTTTTAAATTAATGAATATGGAAGGTTACTGTTAAGTATTTTAACTTTTTTAAACTTGTGGATGAACAGAGGGGGAAAAGCAAAATCATGACTTTTTTTCTCAAACCTCTAAGAATTGTTTCTTGTTATCTGCCCCGCCACCTAGTGATTTCGTAAATATACTATACGATGAACCAAGTTTTATGAAGAATCGATTAATATATAGTCCACCTTAGCGATTTCCTCGAAAATGACAACAATGTCACATGATCTGTTCAATCATGGCTATATCAATAGTTAATTAACATCATGACAAAATATATAAGGTGTCCATCACGAATCGTTCGATTCTTTTCTGATGAGTATGTAACAAATAACGATATTCCTTAACCAGAGAAACATTTATCTATTGTCACCAATACCGAATTCGATTCATCACCGACAACCGAACAATACGACGACTGTTCTATATAAAACAAGATATGCTAACCCTTTGGGTTTACCTGTTGTCATAAAATCTTTGTATCTATGAAAGAATTAAGTAAAGTTTTAAGTAATTTATGGTAACTAAATCCCTGACTTAATAATTTACCAGTGATGCATTGATTACGTTCGTTAAAATCTATGGCATCAATACACACACGGGCATAACGAACGAGTTGGTATTTATAAACACTTTATGATGGAGCCAAAGGAACATCGCCGTCTAAAAAAGGAAAATTAACAATAGGGAATGAAAAATCGTCTCTTTTGTCATAAATTTTGGTATGGAGTTTCCCTTTAGAAATTGAAATGTCTAAATCTAGAAAAGGACAACTACTGCTGTTTATGTTAGATTTATTTAAAGTAAGTTCCTTTTGGGTAAATGTCGGTAGTATATTTAGAGAACTCTGGATTATTTAACGAAAAAATATCATCAAGATAACGGTAGGTATTGTTGAATGTATCAACCAAATGTAACAATGACGTCTTTACTGAGTTTGGTCATTAACTGAGATTCATAGCAATACAGGAATAAATCTGCTATTAAAGGGGCGCAGTAAGTGTCCATAGGAATACCTACTACCTGTCGATACACTTTATCGCCGAAACGTACATATATGTTGTCCAGGAGAAAATTTAAAGCTTCAATCATATCTTCACATTTCCAGTAAGTGTATCTAGCATACTTTGCTTTTTCGTTACAGAAAAAACGCTTTAAACGAGGTACAGCAAATTAATTTGCAATGAGATTTTTCAAAAGACCATTTAATTAAATATGAAAACTTTGTCTTGATAAGATTGTGTGGAAGTGTCGTGTAGAGAGTAGAAAACTCATAACTGTCGACAGAATTCAAAGGACAATCAAAAGCACATATTTTATCTAAAACTTCTAAAGAATTTGAACACTCCAAAAATAATTAATACCATTATTTTTATAAGCTTTATTATAAAAGTTAATAACAAGTTCTTTGATAGTAGTAAGGGATGTAGTTAGAAGCACTGACAGATTAGTAGTAGAACACTAAGTAGATGCGGAGATGAAACGGAATTTAAATGGTTTTTTGTGTAATTTAGGTAACCAGTACATAGTCGGTACTTTCAAATGTTCGGAAGGAGCTTTAAGCTGGGTAGTGGCAGTGATATCCTTGTTTACAATTTGACTCTCTGTGGAGCGTACGGACCTGAATGTAGAATAATCGATCATTTCGTTTTGGAGAACTTCCGTGTAGTATATGAGTCACACTACCACTACATTATTGACTGCCTTGTCTGCCGGTACGAACACAAACCGCTTTGCAATTACTTGGAGTTTTTTTTTTATTCTAGAAATAGGTATATCATGGACCCTATTATTAATTATGACCACACCAACATGACCAACAAACGACAACCACTGAACAACAGGCTCCTGACTTAGGACAGGTGCATAAAAATGCAACGGGTTTAAACGTTTTAACAGGCGCCAACCTTCACCCTAACCTGAAACAGTGGTATAACATTACAACATAAAATGACACACAATAAAATATCAATTGAAATGGCTCAACTTGATCAAAAAGACAATACACAAAAACAATAAAATTGAGAATGGAAATGGGAAATGTTTCAAAGAGACAACAACCCGACCAAAGAGCAGAATACAGCTGAAAACCATCAATGGGGCTTCAACACAGCGAGAAAATCCCGCACCTGGAGGCGTAGTAAATATACACTGAACGAATAAGTTTGATCTATGACACAATATGAAACAAAAAAGATGTTTCAATGCCAAAAAGACAACTTTAACATAGGACAAAATGGCGTTAAATAAAGTAACGTACACAGGTAAATTTTTGCTGTTAGGAGTACAGAAATATTTTTTACAAAATAACTTTGTTATTCATAGTACTAGTACAGAAGTGAAAACTTTTTTCGTCATACTAAATACTTATTAAAGGTGGAACATATTAAAAATAGTAAGACGAGATATAACACAAAATAAGTAAACATTGTACTAACAGAAATGCATTACAAATTGTGTCAACAGGTCAAATTAACATGAAAGTACTCGAAGGTCGGTGGTTTTCTCCGGGCACTCCGGCTTCCTCCACCAATAAAAACTGGCCGCCACGAAATAGCCCAAAAGGGGTGCTTAAAAGTGGCGTTAAAACACCAAAAATCAAATTAAATCACGAAAGTACAATTTGAGAGTACTCGCAGTTACTGAAAGCAAGTTAAAAGCCAAAAACAATTAATAATAAAAAAATCATGCATCAGAGACTAAAATCAATTAAAACACATCCCAGGCAGGGATTTAGTGTTTTAACGCCATGGACATTCAAAGAAGACATGACTTGTGCAATGCCAAAATAAAAGTAACGACAGGCAGTAGGATAGTTAGGATTTAACCTTATAATATGTATGATGTTATGTATAGATAAAACAATGTCTAAATAGAAAATAATCGTGGATGTGTATATATACATCCCAAAAACCATTAGAAAAGAATACAAATTTAGTTATGTTTTAATTTGTTGATGACAAATTCGATGTTAGTGCCAATGAAAACAATATTCATAGATCATATGACAACATTTATAAGATAACCTTTACTAATAAGTTTTTTTAAAGTTTCGATAAGTTTACACGGATCACATAGTGATTTTCGCGCTTTTAGTACAATATTACCGTAAAATTTAGGATGTGAAATACCAATTTTAATAAGTTTTCTACAGGTACAGCTAAATTTACTAATCAAATCTTTGTATCTATGAAAGAATTTGGTAAATGTTTTAAGTAATTTATGGTATGTATAGATAGATATAGATATATTGTACAGCTTACTGCTTTAAAATTACAAATAATGGACAAAACATATCGTGCACCTGAATGTACTGTAATGTCATTACAAAAGCACCGTCGATTAAAAAATATCCCACATGAAATATTCAGTGTGTAGGCCCTATACGTTTATTAAAGGACGATATTTCTGTCGAAAAAGCTGATTCCTGAATGAAAGTTATTTAACTTTCAGAGATATTTTTTCAAGTCCTTAAGGTAATCAATTTTTTTTTAATTTATAAGGACATTAATAATATTTTCTTTGATAGAATCAAGGTCAAATATATCCGCTTCTTTAGACTACTTTTGTATCATTTCTAAGAATTATAGATGCTTTAACATAACAAATAACGGACGAAGTTTAATGACTGGAAAACTCTCTGGCATAACCGGATGTGATTTTGATCCATTAAGTTATTAATACAATTCAATAGGATTCAATGGGATTTTGAACCGTTATATGATATCCTGTTATTTCAAACAAAAAATATCTTTGGGAATATACCGAAACCTAATGTTAATAACTGATAAAAAAAAAAATTGAAACAATCAGATTGTTTAAGATCAGTGGTTGGAAAACCTTTTTAGGTAATTAATTGATATATTATATACAAATTGAGATAACAAAACAAAATATGAATAAAGGCAACAGTAGTATACCGCTGGTCGAAATTCATAAATCGATTGAGAAAAAACAAATCCTGGTTACAAATTAAAACTGAGGGAAGCACATCAAATATAAGAGGAGAACTACGACACAACAGAAACAGGAATGTGGTTTATATTTCAATCAACGAGAGATATGTGTTCGCAGTTTTTAATCTTGTAATACCAGAGTAGTCGCATAATAGTCTGTTTTCATATAAACGAATTTAGACTCCTGAAGATATAATTTTCGACAGGTATCGTACTCTGTGGTAGGACATTCTGGTATTCGGAAAAGTAAGAGTTAAAAGAAGTAAAACCAAGCTTACAATCAGTGCAATTTGGTGGGAAAATAACTCTTTCGGATGATTTTGTCGTGTATAGAAAACATTAACAAGTCAAAATTGCACTGAAGTTGCTCTTACTTGACGGAGAACCATGCAGAATCATGACAAGCGATATGTTCGTATGATGAAAGCAAAGTAGAACATAACAAGTTTAACTAATAAACGAAAATACAGTTAGTTATTGAACAACCTTCAAAATTATCAAATAATCGCCATGATTTAAATTGCAATTTTTCAATAAGTCATTTAGAAGTCGAGAAAAATTGTGATTTAGATGTTTATTCAGTGTCTCTCTTTTTTTTCTTTTTTTTTGGGTACTTTCGTTTTTATAGTCTTTGCAGCAATGATGTTTTGTGTTTTGTGGAAATGTACTTTTGTATTATGACAGAATGATACGTAATGTTTACCTGCTGTTCCATTGTAACCAGAAATACTCAGATTGTAGTTTGTTTCTTCTTCTCCAATGTTAAACGTATCGTAAATAGCATATGCTGTATCCCCTGTGAAGTCTTCAAGGTCAAATCGAACCTTGTAAGTCATTTGCTGTAGTATGTTGTGAAGGTTATCATTCCCTAAAGAAATGAAATTATTGATCATTCTTTGTTCCTAGGGTCAAACTTTGTTACCTTGTATGCTTTACTTTTAAATTTAAAATAATTGTTTCACTATATTTCATCGTCAATTTCAATCAAAAGAAAGAGAAAAGAATCATTAGGTTCATTTTCAATTCGAGTACCAGGTTTTCGAGAACCAAAAACTATAATAGTTATGAGAATAACATCTTATAGATGTTCAACGTACATTGATCTGTTATATACCAGTAATCAATGTATTTTTTTTATATATTGGCTTTAGGTTTTTCAATATCCCCGGTATTAGAAAAAATACTGCAAACACTGCCAAAATTTAAACTTTTTATCAATAATCAAATATAGCAACAGCCTTCCCCAAAAAAATCACAGGATGTCTTCAAAATTATTAACTGGTAATTTTTGGAAAAACTGGAAATTATAAAATTTTGCTTTGGTAACAGTGCCATCATCATGAAGTTTATTTCAGACAATAAGCTACAATTCATATATCATAAATTAACAAATTTTATAAAGATTTAACAATTTTACAATTATTTTTTTTTTACAATTAATGGCTCCTCTTAAAAAACAAAACCTAATCCTGTCAGAATATGTGTTGTCACACTATACAAATTGAACTTATGTTGATTTCAGCTTGAGAGAATTGCAAGTACCGAAGGGTATCATCCTACCAGCTATTTTGGCGAATCCATATTTCAGAAATTTTCATATAATTATTATTTACTTATTTTATTTTAATAACATTATGTCCGGGTTTAGTTTCTGTGGGAAAGCTTCACTTCGACGATGTGATCTATTCTGTGAAACTTTAAATTTATGTGTTTATAATTCAAAGATTTTTATATTCTTATATTTTACCAATCCAATGTTCCCCTGAGACGTCACCAAAACCTTTTTTGTAGTCATTCCATGATCTAAAGAAGTTAGTGCTTCCATCAAACCGTTTTTGTACTATCTGAAATACAATAGCATTCATTTAAGAAGAAATAAAATAAATGTATAGAAAATGTATCTTTAATAGTCAAAATTGATAATAACAAAATGTAAAAATAAAAAATGCTTGCAAATAATGTACTTAGTTCTGAATTCTAAAGTCTACATTTAATGGCAAACGTTATTATCAAAGTTGCATGTTTAAACAACGAAAAGGTTTTGCAATATATGACTAAGGCTATTCAGCTTGCGGGTAGACACCCGAAGGATTTCAAATGATTTCAATATTTGTGAATAGCATAATCGTTTCTGATCCGTACTAGAACGTACACTACTTGGTTGGTGATACCCTCGATTACAAAACATCCATAATTAGCGGTATCGACCGAGTGAATGTAAGACGCATGTTACGTCTATATCTGTACCTAGGCTGGAAACCGGGAAATAGTTATATCAACTGATAGAAAAAGAGACGCTGAAGATACCAAAAGGATGGTCAAACTCATAATTCGAAACGAGCTGATAATGCCAAGTCAAAAAACCAAAAAAAACAAAATACAACATTCTGCAAAACACAGCATATAAAATTAAACACTGAGCAATATGAACCCCACCAAAACCCGGTGGTGATTTAAGCTGTCCCGGATAGGTAAGCAGATCTTTCTTCATCTGTGGCACCCGTCGTGTTGCTCATGGAATACAATCCCGGTGATTAGTCTAATTCGGTATGTCACATTCGAAGAAAAGAGGACGGGATTGTGGTTAGGACAATTGGAACATATTCCATAATGGTCAATCAACTCGCAATTGAGTCCGTACAATTAACGAATGGAATACTTCAAATTCACCACTTGGAACTGTTGATTTAATAGCTTTATAATAATCAAATTTCTCATGGGATAAAGACAAAGGAAACGTGATAGGTAAAACTGAGTTTTGTGGCAGAAAATCTCGGATTTATATGACAATCTGTCAATATTTCAATAGTTTTAAAACCATTCGAGTCAAAATAAAAAACGCAATTCATGCTTTAAGGAAGACCTAAATTTGACGAATAAATGCGATACGCTGAGCATAAAGATAAGATGTAGTAGACTATTTAATACTATTCAGAAACATTGTGCGAATCCAAGAAAACAACAACAGTGGCATGTTGTGTTAAATCTAATCATGATAATCAAAAAAAAGGTCCTGTCATTAATCTTATTAATTTGATTGATTTGGCGGTTGATCGTTCGGTAACAAAAAAGAGAAGGAAAATTCTGAGTGGATATTTAAATCTTATAAGGCGAGAGAAACTGACAATCCCATGGCAAAAAAAAACAACAAAAAAAAACGAAAAGACAAAAAATTTCACAAAACATATCATAAAAAATTAAAGACTAAGCAACACGAATCCCATTAAGAACTGGAGGTGATATCATGTTCTACAGAATAGTGAGCAGACCCGAATCCACTAGTAGCACGGTCCTGTTTCTAAGAGTACAAAATCGGTAATTAATAACCAGGGAAATAAAAAGTCTATGAACAGTTTTCTTGCAAGCCTTTATTTATGACCTGATTTAATTTGTTGAAGAAGTTTTTCTTTAAGATAAACCTGAAATGTTTTGTTAAAATATTGCAAGATAATTTGAAGCCAAATGTTTGAAGGAAAACAAATACAAAAGACACTACGGGGACATTAAAAAAAATACGAAAATCGACACATCCATGACAAAAAACTAAAAACGACGAAAAGACAAACACGATTTCACAAAATACTACACAGAAACAAAATACTGAGCAATACGAACCCGACTAAAAACCGAAGGTGGTCTAAGCTGCTCCAGAAGGAAAGCGATACCAAAGGGACAGTCGAAAATTAACCTGATAAGGCCATGGCAAAAATAGAAGAAAATAAAACAACAGACAAACAAAGGTACATAAAAAGTTAATAACAAAAATACCGAACTCCAAGGAAAATTCAAAAATGAAAGACCCTTATCAAATGGCAAAATCAAAAGCTCAAACACATCAATTGAATGGAAAACAACTGTCATATTTTGACTTGGTACAGGCATTTCCTTATGTAGAAAATGGTGGATTAAACCTGGTTTTATAGCTAACTAAACCTCTCACTTGTATGACAGTCGCATAAAATTCCATTACATTGACAACAATGAGTGAAAAAAACTAAACAGAAGTAAAAATGTCAAAAATAGGGGTACAGCAGTCAACATTGTGTTATAATCTTAATCACTATAAAAACAAACAAATATGTCAACAAAGAAAAACAAAATGACATAAAGACAAAACACATAAGCAGGCGGGATGCATAAGTACCGTAATTGTCGAAATGCGCATGGTATCTTCGGTTGAACCTTTGTAGAAAAAAGGACGAGACGTTCTTTGAAATAACAATGGACACTGGTGACGTTTTATAAAGTCTGGGTAGCAGCTGAAAGCTCTTGAATACCGAATGAGTTGGGAAATGTATATCCCATATGCAGGTGAAGTTGGTATATTGCTACTAAGGTGGGGGAAGTTGATAATTTCAAATTAAAATCGTCTCGTTTGTCATAGATTTAGGTACTGAGATGACCGCTTATGTCAAATTTGAGGTATACGTCTAAAAATGAGGCGGAGGACGCCGTGTCTGTTGTTTCCTTAATTTCTAGTTCTAGAGGATATATTAATGGAACCTAATCAGAAAAGTTTGGATTGTTAATGGAAAGAACATCATCAATATATCTAAATGTGAAATTAAATGATCCGGCTTCTTTGAATTTTGATCTTCTTGTTTTTGACAAGTGTCTGAAGGAACTCCGATTCATATGAAAATAAGAAGAGATCGACAAGGAGAGGCGCACAGTTCGTTCCCATAGGAATGCCGACAATTTGTTGTAAAAGTCTACCTCTAAATTCAACAAAAATGTTGTCAATTAGAAACTCCAGCATACTGATCACTTGTTTCTCTGTGTAACATGTTTTACCTTTTTGTTCACTTTAAACAAAATATGTCGTATGGTATCCCAAAGTAATAAATTTATAGCGTATGCTACCATTTTTATATTGAAAAGCATTCTGGATTATTTCTTTTAGACGATTTTTCAATTTCACATGAAAAATGGTGGTATACAGGGTTAAAAAATCAAAAGTTTTGATAGACTTAATTTCAGAGAAAGATCGAAATTTAAATTATCCAGAAGTTCTTTAAAGTTTTTTAGAATCCACATATGGTTATTACCACTACGCGAGAAAACAGTTTCACAGTATTTCTGAAGACCCTCTTTCACTACGGACAGAATGTTTGTCAATATAATGGACTATTCCTTGGTAGAACATGCAGATGATCCGGCAATGTACCGTTGTTTGTACGGAATTTTGTGAAGCGTAGGTATCCAATACAAACAAGGTATGTCCTCAGATTTGCTATTAATGCAATGTTCATTGAAGCCACGAAGGACTTGTAATTCGTCAAAATCTCATCCTTGTCAAATGTTATGTTTTTATATGTGGGATTATCTGAGTGCTCATTTATTCCTAATTCTTTTACAAGACACTCTTAGTAGTACGATTTACATACAAAGACAATAGTATTTAAAGCTTTGTCCACAGGAATAACAACATATTTATGAAGAGATGATACACTTTTTACAGATTATTTGTCTCTGAAAACAGACTTTGGTGGATTATTCACACAGTTTTTCAACTTATAAATTCGACGTTTTATCAGAGACCTGATTGTTTTGACCCATTCTGACAAAGTGTCCAGTTCAACTTCTTCTCGTTTAGCCCATGGCATGGCGTAGTCCTCAATGGAATACATTTTTATTTTGAAGTTATGGTTCAAATTGATGTGTTGGGGTTCTCTGAACTTAGAACCATGATATATTACCTTTCGGAGATAAAACACAACATAGAAAACTAAAGACTGAGCACACGAACCCTAAACAAACTGGGGATGAGTTAACATATCCACGAAATCAGCCGAAGGAAATTAGGAATATTATGATGGCATACCTGTACTACTATTGCTGTTAACTAGTATGCAAAATATTAATGCCCTACAAAATTTGATTTAAGGATTTATTATGTGCAAATATCATTCTATATTTCACGGTATGTTTATGTAATAACCAAAGGTCTTTAAAAAGCAATAACAATACTCTGTCATTAGATAAACTTATCATATATACCAGGATTTAAAAGACTAATCAGTGTCGGTCGAATCAAAACAGTTAAAAAGACCAAATAAAGAACGAAGTTAAATAAAATTATAGGCAACTGTAATTTTCCGATGTTCTAAAACAAAAATATCAAGAAAATCTTTTGTTCAATTTTAGGATGCAAGCCTCGCCTTTGCGGCGTATCCGGTTTATGGAGTTTTTCTTTCTCTTCATTTGTTTTATCCTAATGAGCGGGTTCATTATAACATTTTATAAAGTAACATTGGTAAACATACGGCTAAATCGATATGATTCTTAAAATACAGTCTATTGCATGTGTTGGCTCATGGTAAAAATATAATTGCAGCCATATCTAAAACAATTATTTGCCTGAAATTTTTTTTTTTATTGGCAATGATAATTATTTCCTAAGATCTAATGGTTTACACAACAATCATACTTACTGTCCACCCACCACCATCCGTCTCCATTTCACAGAACACTGTTATGTTTAGACTGTTGAAAGGCTGGATTGTAAAAACATCGCTAGAGTTTTCCGTTAATATATCACTGCAGTCCTTTGGCAATGGATTTATAACTTTTTTTATCTCTAAAAACAGCAAATATTTTTTAACGCAATACAAAACAAAAAATCTTGCAAATTTCATGAACATATTTGATCATGAAATTTCATTATAAGATCAATAGAAAAGGCGTCTGCATTTAAAAAAAAATAATTTGGTAACAACTCTATTCGGTTTAAATACAAACGCAAATATCAAGAACCAAAACTTTATTTATAAGAGATAAGATATATCATTATACATGATTAATTAAAATATAATCCTTTGATAATTTAGCCTAAACATTTTCCTCGGAGTATTTTTGTGATTTAACTTTTTATCCTTACGAATAATTAGTATCATTCCACATTTGAACATGACTCATTATGTTTTTTTTTATATCTTTTACCCCTTTTTACAAAAGTTAAAGTAGTGAAAGATTACCATTATGAAAGGCAAATTATCTCCCTCAATCATAGTTCTGATTCCATCCCGAGTTTGGCTTTTCTTTTGGTTCTTTTTTACGTTTATCGGTTCTTCAACGCTTGCATTTTGTTTTGGATTTTTTAGATAATTTGGCCTCGAGCATGTCTGCACAGAAATTAATTGTCGAAATGCGCATCTGGTGCAATAACATTAGTACCGTTTATGTTATTAATATGAATAAAAATTACCAGTTTTGTGCTTAACGGCACCGAAGTATTAGAAAAATTTGGTGTTTTTTTGGCCCAGTTAATTGGCTCGACATTAATTTGTATGAAATCATCATTGGTCATTTCTTTAAAACCATTTCGGCAAAAGGAAAATATCAGTGGTGATTGGTGACGCACTGTGGTTTTGAAATCAGAAAAGATGCAAAATAAAAAAAACAATGTGATTTTTGCTAAGAAGAAATGAGAAATGACATTTGAAATTTTAAAGGTGGAAAATTTTTGAAATGCATATTCGGGCCTGATAAAAAGTGAAAAAATAGCCTTGCTCAAAACAGGATCTAAATGATTATTCTGATATTCAAAATGTAGGAAGATTGTGTACAAACTGAAAAAAAAATATTAGTGAGGTTGTGTTTAGTATGGGAAATCCAAAGGTCAAAATCGGTCAAAAATCACCAGTTTACGTTACGTTTTTTTTTCATTTTTATACTGCATTAACTTAAAAAAAAGTCTATTTTTTCTAAAGAAAATAGATTCAATATATTGAATATATCTACATTAAGCCAAAAAGCGTCTCTTTTTTCTATTGTTGTATAAGTAATTGTAAAATTTTACGTTCAAACTCTCATGTAACGGTTAGTCTATGAAAAGGTATATACTATGAAATTGAGATCGAGGGAACGCTTTTTTCATTGCCTATCCAATTTAGCACATATTAACAACTTAAGTTATCTTATAATTGATCTATTGATAGTTTATTTTGGCTGACACCTTATTACATAGGTGTTTTAAAAAGGAGTTCATTAACTAAGTATTGTTTTATGTAAATTAAGTATCAAAGCTGTCATATTGTTCAATTTGTTACAGTGATATCACATATTTTGAGTTTATACATATGTACTGTGAACACAAATTGGGAACTTACCGGTTTGTATGTCAATCAACCATAAATATAGGTCATTAGAACAGATTCTCGACTCCATAATTTTAAAGATGGTATCAGCGGGTGTAAGTATGTATATGGAGATAAAGAGATGTTTACTTCTTTACATAATCAGATGACAAATTAATGTAATCGCCATCGCCAATTTGAATAATAATTGCCATCATCATCATCGAATTGCTTGAGTTTTCCTTCACAAGGTTTCTTAGTACATATCTTTTAGTGTACAAAGTAACTGCATGGATGACGAATGACCACAATGATAAAATTACGTTGTATTCTTAACAAGATTTTAAGAACTATTTTTCTTATTCTTTCTTTATATAGTAATTTGTATTTTAAGAGATACTTTTTCAAACCAAGAATTTTTATAGCAAGATATATAGAAATTATGGTGAAAACTAATTACAAACCTTTTTTTACCACAAAATTTTATTCCAAAATAGCAAGTATCTCTTTTTTATATCTTGATATAATGAAATCTTATAATTGTGGTCATCCATGCATAGTTATTTAGTACACCGAAAAATGATGTACCTGGAACTAATAGATAAAGGGACATGCAACCAAATTGATTTTTCAATTAAATGTCCCGCAAAGTTTACCTTTAAATGGTTGTATTTTAGGGCATTTCTTTCTTCAAACATAGGTTTACAATTTTTTCAAAGTTCTCCTAGAATTGCCAAATAATATTGATTAAAAATTAATGTCATTGAAGACGAACGATTGTAGGGTGCTGATAACTAATTTTCCATAATTTCATTATTAAGTTGTGATTCTGGTGTCCAAAGTTGGAGAATTGGTCATTTTCAAAGCACATTTTTCAATGTTATAGTTCCTGATGAAATTTAGAAGGCAGATTCAAGCAATTTGAATGGACGAAAAGTTGTAAGTATATGCTAATCAAATCATATTACGTCAGATTAAACATTGCTGACACATTAGGTATGTAAACAAATAACTAAATTGATGAACCAATTGATAAATGAATACATAAAAACATAAAAACAAATGATATCTCCGTGAAATAATGATAAAGATGTAAATGTATACCTGGTACAGACATCCTTGTCAAAACCTCAGATTCATTATCTTGTTTCTTGGGAGGACAACATGAAAAGAACAACCCACATTGTTCCGAGCCCGAGTCAAAGCTGCTTGTGCAGCAGTTATCGTCAACTGAGCATCTCATTGCACACTCCACTCCTGAACTGGTAGTTATTGTTTTGATTGCATCTTTGCTGAAAGTTATGTTTACATTTTTCCATTTCTTATAAAAATGTGATTCAAAATCAAAACCGGCTATAGAGAGTGACAAAAGTGTCAGATAAGTTTTTGTTTCTAAATAAAACATAACTCCAACTGATATCTGTTTAATTCATTTTCCTTGATCTCTTTCAAAAACTTTATCATACGATGTTCGCAAGTTTTTTTTTTATAAATGGATTATTTCCTGGAGAAAGACTTATTACAGTTTGGTCGCTGCATTTTAATTCGATCGTTATTCTCATCAGATGATCTCTTAACTGAAAAAAATAAACTGCAATCGTTCTATTGGAGCATACAACATATGTAGTCTGTAAACATTTATGTGAATACAGTCACTAATCCTACAATTCAATAAGCCTCGCCTGCCACTGACAATTTACAATGGAATGTAAGAACTTGCGCGAAGCGGTCATATACATCAACTAAATTCTCAATAATATCATACAAAAATACAAACAAAAATAATTGTTCTTATTCTTATTTTATTATAATTTTTTTTTTCAAATTCATTAGTTATTGTGTGTTTTTTTTTTTTATGTTATTCTAAAATTTGTCGCATTTGTTCACCCGACTGATTTCAAAAACAATGTAACAATTTTAATCAGCTAATAAAAGAGCCATTTCTAGGATGAACCTTAAAAAGCAGTTTTTAGAATATGAAAAAAATAAACAAACTGATATCAAAAGCGGGTACAAAATTGTTTGATATGCAGTATAAAGACAACAATAGTGTTTTGGCTATTGACATTGTAACGACAGAAGTATTGGGTACGAAATGACGAAAGTTCCCGGAAGATCCACGCATTTTCCTTGTTTCTGTGTCTTATCATTATATTATTATTATTTCAAGTCACAAATATCTCACCACCTAACCTATAGTCAGTGCTTCAAAATTCTAATATTAGTCATCACTAGACCTATAGCCTGTACTTGTATATCCTAATATAAGTCATCACTAGACCTATAGCCTGTACTTGAATAGCCTACTATTAATCTTCACTAGACCTATAGCCTGTACTTGTAAATTCTTATATAAGTCGCCACTAATCCAATTTCCAGCCAGTGCTTGCATATTCTGATATAGGTCGCAACTAAACCAATTGTCAGTGATTGTATATTCTAATATTAGTCAACACTAAACCAAATACCAGTGCTTGTATATTCCTAATTTAAGTCACGACTAGACCAGTTGTCAGAACTTGTATATTCTAATATAAGTCGTCACTAAACCAATAGCCTGCACATACTTGTATATTCTAATATAACTCATCACTAGACCTGTAGCCAGTGCTTGTTAATTCTGATATAAGTCACGTTTAGACCAATTGCCATTACTTATAAATTCTAATATAACTCACCACTAGACCTGTAGCCTGGGCTGGTATTTTCTAGTAAAAGTCGCCACTAAACCAATTGCCAGTGCTTGTATATTTTTGATATCAGTCACCCCTAGATCAATTGCCAGTGCTTGTATATTTTTGATATCAGTGGCCACTAAACCAATTGCCAGTGCTTGTATATTTTTGATACCAGTCACCACTAGATTAATTGCCAGTGCTTGTATATTTTTGATATCAGTCACCACTAGATTAATTGCCAGTGCTTGTATATTCTGATATATATAGATTATAACATGGCATCTTTCATATCAGACCCCTTATCAGCCCTAGGTCATAATATCAGCCCGAGAGCCGACAGGCTCGAGGGATGATTATGACCATGGGCTGATAAGGGGTCTGATATAAAAAATGATATGTTATGTTCTTTTTATCATAAACTTCAGCAGAAGACATACAGACAAAAGCTATTTTTTTAAACTCAAAAAATTCATTTGTTGTAATATTTGTTTTGCATTTTTAAATAATATATTTTCTTGATTCCTAATATTTTTTTCATTCAACTTTGTTATGTTTTACACAAAATACGTACCATTGAGGTGTATTTTCCGGAATTTGCCAAATGACGTCGAATTGTCATGCGATAACGTTACAGAAAAGCATGCGCTAATAACCGGAAGCAGTTGATATAAAACGGAAGCAGTTGATATAAACAGGAAGCAGTTGATAACAAAAGTCATATCACACGGCTAAAGCAATTCTTCATATTTAATGAATAAATATATGTACAAATTAGTTTTATCATGGGGTACAATTATACCATTATTTTCTATAAGTATATGATAAAACTAACTACTAGCCTATAGCCAGTACTTATATATTTTAATATTAGTCAATACTAGGCAAATTACCAGTACTTGTATATACATAATAAAACTCATCTCTAAACCTATAGCAAGTATGTATATATACATAATACAACTCATCTCTAAACCTATAGCCAGTACGTATATATACATAATACAACTCATCTCTAAACCTATAGCCAGTACGTATATTTTCTAATATAACTCATCATTCGACCTATAGCCAGTACTTGTACATTATGATCACTACTAGACATATATGGTCTATGGAGAGTTATCTCGTTGGCAATTTTACCACATCTTCTTATTTTTATATATAGCGAAATCTTTTATATTTTGATATAACACATCCCTAGACCTATAACGAAACCTTTTATATTCTTTTATAAGTCATCACTAGACCTATAGCATTGTGTACTTTTATAAGACAGAAACTCAAAGACGCACAAAAAACCTGCAGAAATGAAGAGTGTGATATAAGATATTAACAGTCTATAAAACATGACAAGCTTTAAATAAGTCTGGACTAAACAAGTGGTGGCAACCATCAAATATTTGCAATCAGCACCAAATTCTTTCGAATTATAAAAAGGAATTAAAATTTAATTTAAGAAAAACAACCTGTTTACCTTTTTTGTACAAAAACTATCAAAGACATCCCTACAAAAACAAATCTACTAAAATTATAGGATTAAATAATCCAATTAATCAACTTTGAAAAGTAGTGCAAGAAAATTGATTATGTATGATTTGTAAAAAAGAAGATATTTTGAAATATACCTATATTGAGAAAATTCGAATCCACAGTTACTTCTTTATAATAGGATTGTGACATTTTAATTGTGCATTGTTAACATGGTCCATAAATCAAGATTTTGTAGAATGAAGCGTATTTTCATTTATAGTTTTCCCCAGGATGTAGCAGTTTACAAGAAATTTTATGGTGGTTTCTATCATTTGATATCAAAAGACTATTAGGGCTTGGCATTTTTTTAATTCATTTTTCTATGCCAGTATATATATAAAAAAAATAGACTTTTTAATAACAAATCTTTTCACTGAAAATGATCGTAAACTTAATTGTGCATGATTAACGAGTGTTTGCTTGAATGATTGATGTATGAAAAGTGCTTTAGAAACAGATAAACTTATCTTCTGTGTGAATGACTTTATGAATTATTTTACTGTCTTGATATTCAGTCATCCAAACGGTTCAAAAGAGATTTATATATCCCTATTTTGTCATTTTCATCGAACTTGGAAATATAGCCGCTACTTGTATATACTTATGTAACTTATTTCAAGAGCTTGCAGCTGCTACTCAGACTTTATAAAATGTCACTAGTGTCTGAGCAGAAAGTTGATAAATCATGGCTATGTAAAAGAACGTCTCGTCCTTTTTCTAAAAAAGTTCATCGGAAGATACCAAGACCTTGTTGATAAATATTCCGTATCAACTTATACTAAATAATACATGATGGTCTTGAAGTATAGATTCTAGGTACTGACGTTGTTTATCATCTTTTATGTTTTATAGTAATCTTTTATTTGTCTTTGTAAGTTATTAACCTTTACTGTTTAGTCCAATTTTTGGTAATATCCTTTTGGCGTGTCTCGGTACTTATACATCCCGCCATTGTGTTATTGTGCTATGGTCATTTTTATGTTCTTGTCTTTCATTTTTGCTTATGTGCTTTGTCTATTTGCCATTTTGTTTTTCTTTAGATATAGGAAGATGTGGTATGAGTGCCAATGAGATAACTCTCCATCCAACTTTTGTTGACATATTTGTTTGTTTTTATAGTAATTAAGATTATAACACAATGTTGACTGCTGTATCCCTATTTTTGACATTTTTTTCCTATTATGTCTGTTTGTTTTTTTCACACATTGTTGTCAATGTAATGGAATTTTATGCGACTGTCATACAAGTGAGAGGTTTAGCTATCTATAAAACCAGGTTTAATCCACCATTTTCTACATAAGGAAATGCCTGTACCAAGTCAGGAATATGACAGTTGTTTTCCATTCGTTTGATGTGTTTGAGCTTTTGATTTTGCCATTTGAAGGGACTTACCGTTTTGAATTTTCCTTGGAGTTCGGTATTTTTGTTATCCATGACACAAAATCAATACATGCACAGCAACAACAAAAAAAACACACAAAAAAAAGGAACAGCGCTTTATTTCTGTCCTTCATCTCAAAATCACAGTGAGGCCTTCAACACAGGGGCTAAAAAAAACTCTCATTGCTCATCACTAGACCTATACCCAGTACTTGTAAATTACAATATACCTCATAACTATACCTATACCCAGTTCTTGTAAATTATAATATACCTCATAACTAGACCTATAGAAACAAGAAGATGTGGTATGAGTACCAATGAGATGCAATGAAATTCAAGTCACAATGTGTACAAAGTTAACAATTATAGGTCAATGTACGGCCTTCAACACGGAGCCTTGGATCACACCGAACAACAAGCTATAAAGGGCCCCAAAACGACTAGTGTAAAACAATTCAAACAGGAAAACCAACGGTATAATCTATATAAAAAACGAGAAACGAGAAACACTTATGAACCACATCAA